AGAAGATCCAGGTTTGGATCCATCACCCATGTGGCTTGCTGTCATCTGTGATTCTCCTTCCAGGGGATCCTATGCCCTCTTTTGACCTCCACGGGCATTGGACGTCACATGGTGCACAAGCATACATTCAGGCAAAACACACCTAAAATAATGTTTTAAAAAAGACAAAAAATATTGCTTAACATACTTGGGATTTCTTGAGATTATTGAAGTATAAGTAGTTTCACTCTTCATTTTAGAAATTTCTTAGTTTCTATCTTTTCTTGGTTCCTCTCCATCAATACTGCTATGTTATTCTCACCCACTTTTCTATTAGGAACAAATAGGATTCACACCAAACCCTTTTTTGTGGTTTTTGTTCTTCTCCACTCTTCTTCGCCCCACCTTGTCTAGCCACACTGTTCTATTAACAGCTTCTCTGTAATCTTGTAACTATTAAACATTTCTGTTTTGTTTTATAAACTTGCCATCCATTATTGTGTACAATGTTAGATACATTTCCTTACTTATTTCTACTTTTATATTATATAACTGCTAACACCCAGTGAGAAACACACTCTCTGTTGCCCTCTGCCTGCATGCCATCATGATGGATAAAACCTCTGAAAATGCAAGCCACCACAGTTAAATGTTTTCCTTTATAAAAGGTGCCATGGTCATGGTGTCTCTTCATAACAATAGAAACCCTAACTAAGACACACTTTATAGTGTTCTTCAATTCTGAATTTCCTTCAAAGTATAATATTTTGTAACATTTTGTTAATCATGGAATTCAGACATGGGATATCTCAGATCATTGTTTTAATACTAACACAATGTGGCTTTGATTATTACAGCTATTTGGAACAACTTGAAGTCAATTAACATGATCCCTAAATATGCTCTATGAACCTGTAGCATCTCTTCATTCATTTTGTCTACATTTCAACAATGTCTTAGAGCCCTTTGTCAGATGTAGGATTGGTGAAGATCTTTTCCCAGTCTGTGGGCTGCTGTTTGGTCTTGTCCACAATGTTCTTTCCCTTATAAAAGCTTCTAAGTTTAAGGAGGTCCTATTTATTAATTACTGATCTCAGTGTCTGTGCTCCTGGAGTTATGTTCAGGAAGCAGTCTCCTATACCAATTTGTTCAAGAGTACCTCCTACTTTCTCTTCTAAGAGGTTCAGTGTGGCTGGATTGATGTTGAGGTCTTTGATCCATTTGGACTTGAGTTTTGTTCATGGTGACAGACATGCCTCTATCTGTAGTCTTCTACACACCCTCATCCAATTGTGCCAGCACCATTTTTTGAAGATGCTGTCCTTGCCCCTTTGTATAATTTTAGCTGTTTTGTCAAAAATCAGGTGTTCATAGGTGTGTGGGTTAATATCAGGATTTTCAATTCAATTCCATTGGTCTATTTTTTGTGCCAATACCAGGCTGTTTTCAGAACTATAGCTCTGTAGTAGAGCTTAAAGTCAGGGATGGTGATGCCTCCTGAAGTTCTTTTATTGTACATGGTTGTTTTGCCTATCCTGGGTCTTTTGGTTTTCCATATAAAGTTGATTGTTATCCTTTCAAGGTCAGTGAAGAATTGTAGTGGGATTTAAATGGGGTTTGCATTGAATCTGTAGATTGCTTTTGGCAAGATTGCCATTTTTACTATGTTTATCCTGCCTATCCAAGAAGAGCATGGGAGATCTTTCCATTTTCTGGTATCTTCTTTAATTTCATTCTTTAGAGCCACAAAGTTCTTATTATATAGGTCTTTTACTTGTTTGGTAAGTGTTACCCCAAGATACTTTATGTTGCTTGTGGCTATTGTAAGGGGTGATGTTTCTCTGATTTCTTTCTCTGTCTCTTTGTCGTCTGAAAAAAGTAAGGCTACTGATTTTTTTGAGTTTATCTTGTATCCTGCTAATTTGCTGAAGGTGTTTATCAGCTGTAGGAATTCCCTGGTAGAGTTTATTGGGTCGCTTATGTAAACTATCATATCATCTGCAAATAGAGACAGTTTGACTTCTTCCTTTCCAATTTGGATCCCCCTTGATCTCCTTTTGTTGTCTTATAGCTTTAGCTAGAACTTCAAGTACAATATTGAAGAGATATGGAGAGAGAGGGCAACCTTGTCTTGTTACTGATTTTAGAGGAATTGGCTTAAGTTTCTCTCCACTCGGTTTGATGTTGACTGTTGGTTTGCAGGATATTGTTCTTATTATGTTTAGGTATGTTCCTGTTATCCCTGATCACTTCAAGACCTTTATCATGTAAGGGTGTTGAATTTTGTCAAAGGCTTTTTCAGCATCTAGGGAGATGATCATATTGTTTTTCTTTTTCAGTTTGTTTGTTTATATGGTGGATAACATTGATAGATTCTCATATGTTAAATCATCCCTGCAATCCAGGCATGAAGCCTACTTGGTCATGGTGGATAATTTCCCTGATGTATTCTTGGATTCAGTTTGCCAATATTTAATTGAGTATTTTTGCATCGATGTTTATTAGGGATATTGGTCTGTAGTTTTCTGTCTTAGTTTTGTCTTTGTGAGGCTTGGGTACTAAGGTTATTGTGGCCTCATAAATAAGAGTTTGGTAAAGAACCTTCTGTTTCTATTGTGTGGAACAATTTGAGGAATATTAGTATTAGTTCTTCCTTGAATGTCTGGTAGAATTCTGAACTGAAGACATCTGGCCCTGGGCTTTTTTTGGTAGGAAGGTTTTCGAGGACTGCTTCTATTTCATTGCAGATTATAGGTCTATTTAAGTTGTTCGTCTGTTTTTGTTAATTTTGGTAAGTGATAGTTATCCAGAAATTTTTCCATTTCCTTTGAATTTTCAATTTTTGTGGAATACAAGTTTTCAAAGTATGACCTAAAAATTGTCTGGATTTCTTCTGTGTCCACTGTTATGTCCCCCTTTTCATTTCTTATTTTCTTAATTTGCATTTTTCTCTCTGCTTTTTGTTAGTTTGGATAGAGGTTTGTCTATCTTGTTGATTTTCTCAAAATACCAACTCTTTGCTGTATTGATTTTTTTGCATTGTTTTCCTGGTTTCTATTTTGTTAATTTCAGCCCTCAAATTGATTATTTTCTGGTGTCTACTCCGCCGTGGTGAGTTTGCTTCTTTTTGTTCTAAGGTTTTTAGTTGTGCTGTTAATTCTCTTATGTGACTATCCTCTGTTTTCTTCATATGGGCACTTAGTGCAATGAACTTCCCTCATAGCACTGCTTTCAAGGTGACCCATAAGTTCGGGTATATTGTGTCCTCATTCTTGTTGAATTTTAGAAAGTCCTTAATTTCTTTCTTTATTTCTTCTTTGACCCAGATGTGGTGCAATTGCACAGTGTTCAGTTTCCATGAGTTTGTAGGGTTTCTGCGATATGTGTTGTTGTTGAATTCCAACTTTAAAGCATGGTGGTCTGATAAGATACAGGGGACTATTCCTATTCTCTTGTATCTGTTGAGGTTTGTTATGCTAGAATGTGGTCGATTTTAGGGAAGGTTCCATGTGGCACAGAGAAGAAGGTATATTCTTTTGTGTTTGGATGGAATGTTCTATAGATGTCTGTTAAACCCAGTTGAGACAATAACTTCTGTTAGTTCTTTTGTTTCTTTGTTGATTGGTGGTCCTGACTAGTGGTGAGAGTGGTGTGTTGAAGTCTACCACTATAAGTGGGTGAGATTTTATGTGAGGTTTGAGTTTTAGTAGTGTTTCTTTGACGAATGTGGGTGCCTTTGTATTTGGGGCATAGATGTTCAGAATGGAGACATTGTGGTGATGGATTTCCCCTGCAATGAATATGAAATGACCGTCTTCATCTCTTTTTATTCATTTTGGTTTGAAGACTAACTTGTTAGATATTAGGATAGCCATAACTGCTTGCTTCTTGGGTCCATTTGATTGGTACTTTTTCCAAACCTTTACCCTGAGGTAATCTCTGTCTTTGAATCTATCTTTGAATCTTAGATGTGTTTCTTGTATGCAGCAGAAGGATGGATTCTGTCATTGTATCCGTCTCTTAGCCTGTGTCTTTTTATAGGTGAATTAAGACCATTAATATTGAGGGTGAGTAAGGACCATTAATTATTAATGCTTTTTTGCTTTAGATTTGTTGTTGGAAGTGGTATTGTGAATATATTTGTTCTGCTTTATCCTAGGTTTTTGGTATAGTGGGATTATCTGTTGCCTGTGTCTTTGTGAGCGTAGTTAATTTCCTTGGGTTGGAGTTTTCCTTCCAGAACTATCTGTAGGGCTGTATTTATGGATATGTATTGTGAAAATCTGCCTTTGTCATTAAATATCTTCTTTTCTCCATCTATAGTGATTGAGAGTTTTTCTGGGTGTAGTAGCCTGGGCTGGCATCCGTGGACTCTTAATGCCTATAGAACATTTTTCCAGGACCTTCTGGCATTGAGAGTTTCCATGGAGAAGTCAGGTGTAATTTTGATAGGTCTGCCTTTATATGTTACCTGTCCTTTTTCCTTCACTGCTCTTAATATTCTTTCTTAATTCTGTATGTTAGGTGTTTTGATTATTATATGTCAAGGGGTCTTTTTTCTTTTGTCCAGTCCATTTGGTGTTCTAGTATGCTTCTTGTACTTTCATGGGTATGTCCTTCTTCAGATTGGGAAAGTTTTCCTCAATGATTTTGTTGAATATGTTTTCAGCACCTTTGAGCTGGGCTTCTTTGCCTTCTTCTATGCCTATTATTTTTAGGTTGGCCTTTTCACTGTGTCCCACATTTCCTGGATGTTTTGTGTTAAGGATTTGTTGGATTTATGATTTTCTTTGATCAATGAGTCTATTTCCTCTAGTTTATCTTCTCTGCCTGGTTCTCTCTTCCATCTCTTGAATTCTGTTGGTTATGCTTGCATCTGTAGTTCCCGATCATTTGCCCAATTTTCCTATTTCCAGCATTCTTTAGGTTTCTGTTGTCTTTATTTTCTCTCTTTCAGTTTTCAAGTCTTGAATTGTTTCCTTCACTTGCTTAATTGTTTTTTTTTTTTTTTTTTTTTTTTTACAAATATAGAATACTTCACAAATTCGCATGTCATCCTTGCACAGGGGCCATGCTAATCTCTGTATTGTTCCAATTTTATTATATGTGCTGCTGAATGGAGCATGAATTTCTTTATTCTTACTGCCTTTTTGGTTGTGTAATCTTTAGATTTTCCTATAAAGCAGATCATGCAATCTTCAATCAGATTGATGTAAGTTCTTTTCCCATTTGTGTTCAATTTCTTTTGCTCTGTGTGTGTGTGTGTGTGTGTGTGTGTGTGTGCACATGTATGTGTGTGTATTTTTAGAGGCCACATGGAGATATTGGGTATCCACCTCTCTCACCATCTGCTTTTTTATCCTTTGGCTATAGTCTCTCACTATACTTGGGGCTTGCTATTTTTTTCTGTACTGTCACATACAAAGCTCCCAGTTATACCAATATTTTCCCCAACACCTATCTATGAGCTCTAGGGCTACTGGATCCTGTTGCTACACTCAACTTTTTACAAGGAGATCCAAAATCAGGTGTCAGGTATTCATGCTTGCACAATAGTGTCCTTACCACAGAGCCATTTTCCCAGCCCTATTTATTTATGTATTATACCTTTATATTCATATATTTTTCTCATTTTACTTAAAGAAAATATTCTGTGTGACAACTAAAAGCATTGACAAGGACACTGGTTAGTATGGTGAGAGATCTTCGATGGTATGTTGACGATATATCAGAAAGAGGGCTAGCAGGAATCTGATCTGATCAGAATATATAACATTGTTAATCAAATATCTGCTTGGCTTTAGAATAAGGATACCTGTTGTATGGGCTTAAATGAAAATGGCACCATAGGCTCATAGGGAATGGTGCTATAAGGAGATGTGTCCTTGTTGGAAAGGAAGTGTGTCACTGTGGGTAGATTTAGAGGTTTCAAATGCTCAAGCCAAGCCAAGCCTAGTCTCTCTCTCTGCCTCTCTGTCTCTCTCTCTCTTCATGCCTCCTGATCCAGATTTAGGACTCTCAGGTCCTTCTCCAGCACTATGTCTGCCTGCACACCACCGTGCCCTTCTTTTCACCAGTATGATAATGGACTAAATCTCTGAGCCTATTAGCCAGCCCAAATTAAATACTTTCCTTTATAAGAGTTTTCATGTTCATGGTGTCTCTTCACAGCAATAGAAACTCTAAGACAGTTGTCTAGGAAGAATATGCTGGGTACAAATGTATATTATATTCATATAATTCCATATATCCATCATCAAAACTATTATATGCAAACCTTGTGGAAACTGCTTTTACTCATCTTAATTACACCAGACATTTAAAGTTTTTTATTTGATTACTGTCAACAAGGAGATGAATAAGTGTCTGGGTTGAGCTCAGAATCTCAAGCCAAGTCAAAATTCATAAACATTATTTAAATACATCTTATCTTGTTGAATTATAGATGTAATTCCTAATTATTTAATTCATAATGAATTATGGATGTAAGCATGGAGTCTTATACTGCTACTATCTAATGTGTACATCGTCATTTCTAGGCCTGTTTATAAATGACCCAAAGAAACATTTAGTTGTTCCTGTCTTAGATATTCTGTTCTGTTCTATTCTTATGACCAAGTACTTGACAAACAGCATCTTCCAGTGACTGTTCAATGGGGCATCAAAGCAGAGAAAGCTTGGCTGTAGGACCATGGGATTTCTGATTGCATAATATCTACTATCTGGAAGCAGAATACGGACAGGAAGTAGGACCAGGCTGTAAAACCTAAAGGCTTGTCCCCAGCATCTTACTTCCTTCAAAATCTCTAGCTTTTAAATGTGCTATAGCTTCCGAAACATGGCCACCAACTGGAGAACAAGTGTTCGAACACAACTTTTGGGACTACTTCACATTTAGGTCACAAAAATCTCACAAATAGAATTTTAAAATATGGTCTTCTTGGTTTTTTTTTTTTTTTTCTTTCTACAATAGACTATCTGTACAAAGAAATGCATCTGTGGCAAGAACTGGAATCTGCAAGAATAAACATTAACATATCCACCGCATTTGTTCTTAAACTGTCTGGTTTTGCATTGAAAAATCTATGTTAGATGCTTTCCTCTAGGTTTGTACATAAGTTTGCTTCACATCGTGTTTTAAAAAGCAAATTCAGAAAAGGACATGGAGCACCATCATTTTGATGTGCCTTTTTTTTTTCTGTTAACAGGGAATTTAAGTGACAGCAATATAAGTGGAAACTTTTCTGAAAACATGCTTTCCTTTTAATCTATACACAAACACAATTAGTGTTCAGGTCAGAAAGTGGAGAGGCATTTATAGGATCAATCATTTTGGGTTAAGGAGTAGGCACCCTGCAAGCTTACTAATGGAATGGAAATAATGCCTGGAACTGCTCCAAAGAGTAACTGTCTCTGTGGAGCAATTAAATATGAATGAAGAATGTTTGCTGAGAAGTTCAAACACATCAACGGGGTTTATATTTTTGGCTTAATTTATTCAGCACCTTCCAGTGAGCTGATGCTTGATGGCCTGAAAATGTTTCAGGATCCTATATCTACTGCATTCCGTGCAGAGTTCTGTCTGCCAGCCATCAGAAACACTAGCTATTTTCAATCATCTTGAGAACTGCAGGTAGAAGAGGGACAGTGGAAACTGGGCTTAGAGTTCAGTGATGAACACCACTTCAGCAATAGATCCAGTGGTGTTAGGCTCATATTGGGAAATTTCAGCCCATTGATGGAATGTGTTTGCCCACCTTCATCTCTGCTCACAGCAGTAGGATCTAGACCAACTACCATTCACTTGAATTATTACTCCAGTTTGTATATTCACCAAGAGAAACCTGTCTTTCATATCATTTCTGTGTGGTAGAGTATAATATTACTGATTTAGTCAATGATAAAAAAGCACCAGGGTGAGAAAGCAACCATATGTATTATGGTGGCCTGAATATATAATAAAGGGCTGAGGTGATTATACATATATATGTATATATATATGAAGCACACACACACACACACACACACACACATATCCTGGTACTTGTGTATAAGATACATAGAAGTAAAGGTATTTGATATTGAAGAGGTATTACTCATTTTTCTGTGGAGTTATATTCAGATGTATGAAGTAAAACACTTACCCATTTTTTAATTTGGCATTGTATCCAGGGATTATAATTAGCAAACAACAAGAATCTATTAAATGGGCCAGAAGTCCATATGAGTTCAGGATCTGAGAGTCTGAGAGACACATTTATTGTGGCACATGGCCTGACACTGTCATCTCTTTTAGAACACAGTGGTATTGGAAGAGGGTCCCATTCTTAAAAGAAATGACATATCTTAGGGTTGCACTACAACACACAGATATTCATCTCTGAAATAGGTTTACAACAGTATTAGAGGAAAAGCTGAAACATTACTGTAATTTTACTTGGATTGGAGATGAAAACAGGTCCCCTAAAATGAAAACTTGAAATTCCAGGGAGGCATGTAAAAGGGAGTAATTGACACCTATGTTATGACCAATTCAGGCCACTGTGTGCTGGGTCCCTGAGGTTCTTGTTGAATGTGTTTCTTCTGCCATAGGAATCTTCATGGTCTGTGTTCTATTTTACCCTCAATCTACACTGTTTCATTAGCACACCATGTGCCTTCTCTGGTGGCTTAGATCATACATACCTTTGCTGACATGACTTTTCCTCCATTCCTTAACTATTACAATCTACTAAGAACCAAATATTCAGCAGAAATGTGCCCATCCCTGTCAACCTTTTAGTGATTCTTCCTCTAGATTTTCACATCTCTTGGTTTATTATGACAATGCAGATAAGTTTCCTGGTACTTGAGTTTGTTACATGGGTTTAAACATTGGAATAGAATCTCCTTTGGGGCCCCCATATTTAAAGCTAATGAAGTAACACTTCATGGTGGATTTATCAATAATGGCTATGTAATAAGAGAATAAAAGGTAAAGAAAGGTGGGGCAAAAGAAAGAAATCCACTTTATATTGAGCCCCTAAATTTGAAAAAGGGTACTGTTTGGGCTTTAGTTGACAATGACTAAATACCCAGGATTACATTACTGCATATATAATCTCCTATCAAAACACTTGTAATAAAAAAGTAAAATTTTAAAAACTGATAACCAAAGCTCAATGAGAAGGATATGTGTAGAATGGGGAAATATTGGACAAATACGATTTACTTGTAATTTTGTGAACTAAAATGATGGCATTGGCTCCAAAACCAAAACACGCGATGAGCTATGCTAAAGTCATTATTATGTTTGGAATAGAAGTTCAGGATGATAACGTTAAATGTAACTTTCTGCTGTGTGTGCTGCATTTGCTCTGCCTACAGGACCACTGTCTTAGTTAGGGTTTCTATTGCTGGGAAGAAACACCATGACCATTGTTATGATAAAGCTTGTGGGGAACCTTGGGGGATTCCATGGCTGGCAAGGGTGACCAAGGAGAAGGGGCAAACATGCCAGGCAGACAGGGCTTAGTGAGAAGTTTTATTAGTAAGGGAAGGGGGAAGGAAAGAGAAAAGAGGTAAAGAGACACAGAGACCACAGAGAGGACAGAAGAGAAGAGGGAGGCAGAAAAAAAAAGGCCTGTTTGCCCCAGGGGAATAGCAGGAAAGAGCTAGAAAGGGAGGAGCAGGACAGAGAGAAAAGAAAGAGAGCATAAGTGGGTTGGAGTCTTTTTTTTAAAGGGGTCCTTTGCACCTATGGGCAGACTATGCAGCCCTGGAACCCTGAGCTCACCAGAGTACTGCCTGAGTGCATTCTGCCAGGTGACAGGGCAGGCCAGCATAATACCTGAATCCTTATAACCATGGCAACTCTTATAAAGAAAACATATAATAGTGGTGATGGCTCATTTACCATTTCAGAAATTCAGTCCATTATCAACATGGTGGGGAGCATGGCAGCTGGGAGTATGGCAGTGTGCAGGCAGCCATGTTGCTGGCTACATCTTGATCAGATGGCAACAGGAAGTGAACTCAATGTCATACTAAGGAAAGCTTGAGCAAAAGAGACTTCAAAGCCCACCCCCACAGTGACATACTTGCTCAACAAGGTCCCACCTACTTAAGTAAAGCCACAACTCCTTA